CCAGAAGCCGGCGACTGATCTGCCTCGCCAGGGAAGAGCGCAATGATGGTGCCAACTTGGGCCAGTGAAGCAGTGTCCTCCACAACTAGACTGAAGAACAAAACGACAGCAACTTGTCTGTTCCCCTTCCCCTAACTCCCCAGTACTGTTCCCATCCCCCCAATTACCCAAAAAAAATCTTTAAAAAAAAAAAAAACTCCTATGAGATATTAGGAAATTGAGGCTTAGAGAGAGGATTTCCCCAAATTAGTACGCCTATTGCAACTACCATGCTATACAATCTACTAGTTAGAGGGCAGAAGATGATTTTTTTACTTCACTGGTATATATTTGTAATAAGTTATAAACTTGATAATCTCAATCATTTTCAGACTGATTTTTATTGGTAGTTATAAATCACTACAACAAAACCAAAACACTCACTAGGTACAAGGCATACGAAGTCCCAACCGAGATTGAAAATAACTCCGATAAGCCAGACATTAGAAGAAACGGACCCACAGGAGATGCCACTGTCCTGACTACTAAAAGAAAGCCAAGTGGCCTCATGTCTTCCTAAGAAATAACAACCAACCTATGGGAAAGGTTTTGTGATAGCTGAGAAATACTGTGAGTCTGCTAAAAACTGAATTCTGCATATTGTTTCAAGAATATTTCTATGTAACGTCACCTAAGTGAGGAGCCCTCAGAAACATAAGCATATACAAGCAAAGCAAAACAAAACAACCTGGAATGAATCCCACCAAGTGTGTGATGATGGCAGTTATGGGTGATATAATCTTGTCAGACAACATTTTTTAATTAAAAATAGAAAAATAGCAAACTTACCCTTGATTATCTATATCCTCTGACCCCAGTGGTTTGGAATCAGAAAAAAGTGTCACTCTACTTGAAGCCATCTTGGCATCAATAGTGGAATGGGTGGAAATGAGACTCTGGACCAGTTCATGAGTGGGCCTAGCCTCATCCTGTTAAGGGAACCATAAAAGGGAAAGTGAGGGGTGCACAAAGATTCTGAAGACACACTGCTTTCAATTACTTTCTCAAAATTACCCGTAAACATAGTTCCTGAGAACCCTTCTAACTGCTTCAAAAAACAAAACAAAATTCTTACAACAAAGCCTAAAATTTATCTGTCTTCATTAAACTTTTCCAAAGTTCATGGAATATACAATCTGATAACCTAAATACTTAGCTAGAAAAACCTTAGGTGCCAAAGCTACAGAAAGCACTTAGCCCAATAATATCCCATTTCAGAACAGTAAAAGAAATAAAAATCTAGAGTTCATTTTTAAAAAGTTTGATACTTTTTGATCCAAAAATTTCATTTCAAGGAATTAACTGCATAGAAAGATCCCACCCAATGAGCAAAGCTACATGTGGGAGGGTGCTCGCTGCAGCACTGTTCAGACCAGGGGAAACGGGTGAGCTCCTCAGTGCTCCAAAGGTTGCTCAGTAAATGATTTGTCCACATAATGAAGTAGTACACAGCTGCATATGGACAGAAGCAGCTCCACAAATACTAACAGGGGGCAATGCAACCATAGCTTCTTAGATGCCCCCACAAGTTGCAGAAGCATTTATAGTTGGATCTCATGTAACCAATACTACTTCTCTCTCACACACACAAATACCACATGTATAGTAATACATAATATATAATAATCTACACATGTATAATATAACCTAAAAAATTATGCATATGTTTAGAGAGAAACAGAAAAAAAAGAAAAAGACCAGAGAGCTAGAAAACACCGATTTTGTGTAAAGAGAGACAGAGTCCAGGTGCCGAGTGCTTGTGATGCTAGCACTAGGAGACCTGGGATCGATCTCTGTGTATCCTGGCAGCTCGAAGGTATGGAGGACATAACTTTTACTTTCTGTTTGGTGCAATTAGGTGTTCTGCGTATTTACATTACCATTGTGGCCTTACTCAGAAATATGAACAAAGATAAAAAGGTTCAGTAAATAAAAGCTGACTATATTACTTCCTGTGACTTCTCACCGATTCCTGGAAGCCATGGCTGCCACCAAGGTCAACATAGACAGCATCTTTGTCATACAGCACACCACCGACTCCAGAGAGTGGTGCATAAACCAGCTTCTCCTTTTCATTTAAACAGCGCTGCTTCTGTTGTTGAGGAAGGGCACAGGGGTCTGGAAGGAAACTGACATCACTCACAGCAAAATCTCCTACACCTGGAAGACAGAGGCAGAAGTACGGCATCAGCTGACAACAGACATGGCCCCGTCGGAAGTTTCACCCACAACAAGTGCCTCATCTGACATGGCACTGTGACTCTCTAGCTAAACACCACCCTGGAGCAGGAGGACTGGCCAGCAATGCCTCTGCTACCAATGTAATGCTATGCTACTCTTAAAACCCCAGCACGGTGGCCCGTCTTGTTTGGCCACTTTTCAGTTTTCCCAAGACTTGTACAAATACAGTTTACAACAAAAGGATACCTGGCATGTGAATCTGGCTTTTATTTTTCAAGTGTGCTCCTCTTAAATAACCATAAAAAGACACTCTTCGATCGCACTTGGTATTTGTTCGGATATCTTCTGGGTTTGTCAAATCTTCCATCCTAAAAAAAAATAAAACCCAATCATATGGCAGAAATGAATGCCAAAGTTCCTGTACCTCCCTTCACATCTCAATAATTATTACATTCGCTAGTTAACCAAGCATATTTAGAAAATTATAGAAAATATAGAAATAAGGAAGCACAGTTCACCACCTACCAGAGGAAAAGGAGCAAACATGACTGCAACTCTCTTAGTGTCTGTCTGATATATATTCCACAAGTAAGACATCAGAAATGAGAAATGCAAGCACCTGGGTCAGGGAAAAGTACAGAACATGTCCAGAAAAACCCTTTATAGAAGAGGATTAAGCTTTGATATGGGTTTTTTCAGTGTGGCTTGAGTTCTGGCAGGTGGAAAGAGGGTCTTCCAGATGAGAAAACAATATGAAAGAAAGCACAAAGGAAGAAAAGCACAAGACAGACACATTGGCGGGACTGGAGCACCATGGTCCAGTTTAAGGTTGGAAAAGCAGGATGGGGCCACATCCGAGCCGTGAATGCTTCCAAGTCCTCACATGTCTCTGGACAGTTCGTACTGTATTTCCACAACACAGCTTCTTTAAGCAATGATACAAAACAGTACGTATTCACCATCAACCACCTTTCTCCCCCCACTATTCAAAAATAAACAAAAGAAGCTCTATTACTGTTTTTTTAACCTTCTTAGCTTTGAAATAGATGGGCAAGAAAGAAAAAGTGTACATTCACTTTTTACCTGTCTGCCAGGATATAAGGGTGAGAGGTTTGCCATGTAAGAGGTCTAAACTTCATAACTGTAATAAAACGGCCCAGATTGTGAATTTCTTGGTTTTGATATTCTCCATGTACCATTCCAGAAAGGTAAAACAGCTTGGCACCCTAAGCATTAAAAAAAAAAAAAAATTCAAATTTCAACTAAATTCTTGTCAATACTGCACCAAAATAAAGGTCTCTAAACAGGAAGCACCCTAAGAAAGGGAGAGTTCTAGCAAACCACTGTGACAATGCTTCTAGAACTTCTCTAGCTTCTTTCAGGAATCATCCTGCTAGGGCTTCATAGGGGCAGAACTGCAAATACATTTAGTTTCAAGGTCACTCTCCAGCCAGGCAGTGGCATCTGTCTGGAGTATTACACAGAGAGGGCAGTGAGGCTCCTGGACACAGAAAAAAATATTATGACCAACGGGCCTGTAACTGTGAGAAACTTTAGACGAAGTCTATTAAGCCACAAATCTAAAACGCTTAGAGCCAGACACTGCCTGGTGCTGGGGGAGACAGAGACAAATTGGACACACCAACAGATCCAGACTAAAGACTATCTCGGGGAAATATGCCAGGGATTATGAACAGATATATAAAGGAAACTCAGGGGGTAAATTCTACAGAGATGCTTGCTAATCTTTCTTACTCATCCCATCTATTTTTAAAAGATTACAGTGTTAGTATTCAATAATTTATTCTCTTCCTACCGGGTAGACTTCTGTCCAGAACCTGTGTTTTAATCGCTTCTTTGTCTTCTTCAGTTGCTTATTATACTTGAAGGAATCTAGGTGAGTGAGAACGCCCATAATTTTAGGAAAGCCATGTACTTGACAGATGTTTAGAAACTCAAATGTTTCCATTTCAAACCCGAAGCTGGCATCTATAAGCATCAGAACCTAAAAGCAGAAGACACAATTTCTCAAGGAAACTACCCAAAACAAATCATCAGCAAACCATAGTGGGTGGGCCAAAGCTGACTCAAGTTATAGTGGAACAAAGCCATGTTAATTTCTTTACGTATTATCAACGTCTGCTTTGAAGCTACAACTGCAAAATTAAGTAGTTGGAACAGAAACTATAACCCACAAAGCCTAAAATATTTACAATCTGGCTCTTTACAGAAAAAAGTGCCAACTCCTGCTCTAGACTAAATCAAATGATTAGTTAGCAATTACCATGACACAGAAGAAAAATCACCCTTTGATTTGCTCTTAAAATGCAGCCATGAGAAAATGTCTACCATGATATAAACTTCCATTTCAAGAATGTGGAGTATGAGAAATAACTCAGAAAACGCTGGGTCTAATTTGGCCCTTACCTGAGAAGTCCTCACTTCAAGAAATTAAGTTTTTGGGAAGGTGTTTTTAAGCAAAATAAGAGCTCGCTGACATCCAAAAAATGGGAGGAAGTGGTAAGAAATAAAAAATACAAAAAATGTACAGAAAAACCAAACGTTTTTGTTTCAATCTTCTCAAAAAGTTTTTTTGCTGGGAAGCAAGAAGTAGGAAAGCTCTATCTTATGTCCTATCTTATGCTAATTTGTAAAATATAATTACCCAGAAACTAAAAAAAAGAAACTACTAGTTTAAAATTGAGTTAAAAGACAGTGAAGTTATAATGGTAATCTGTAAGAAAACAGAGGCAGGTAAGATCAATTTTTAAAATTTACGACTCTTCAAATACACAAAATAATTTCAGAGTTGATTCCTGGAGATTTTTAGTTTTAAGATAGTACAGACATCTCTGGTCTCACCTTTCTGTAGCTAATTAAAAATAGTTTAAAAAACCCAGAAAAACATCTTTTTGATTAAATTACAGAATATTCATAATCCTGACCCACAAAATCCATGAAGGTGGCCCACCGAGCACTGTGGAAAGGCATGGCTGTTGCTGCCAAGCACAGGCCGCACCACACACAGGGCTGTCCAGCCCTAGGACAGGCTGAAGTGTGTGGGCTGGTTGCGAAACAGCCCTATACCCCATTGGACACCATGGAGTGCCAAGGGGCAAGCAATCAGTTGTAGGATCAGAATAGACGGCAAAGGTCCCCTAACTGACAATTTGCATCAACTAAAACTAAATGAAGGCTATATTAATCCTTCAGTGCACACACATGTGCACACACACACAAATCCATGTATTATGAATGCTTTGCTGTGACCTGGAGGCTTTATAGCAACCCAGAGCAGAGCAATCAACATAAGCCAAGCTAAATAAATTAAGGTACACACAAGGAAATACTTAAAAAGAATAAGGCTGTGCTATAGTACTTATTACATACCTCCAAGACGTATTAAATGAAAAAAAAGCAAAGCACAAAACAGTGTATAATACACAGTATGTGCTTTAAAAGGGTTGCATGTGTATTTAGACGTATCTGGAAAGTTACTGCTTTGAGGGGAACTGAGAGATTAGGGGTCAGAGCAAAAAAAAAGGGAAAACATGCCATTGTATGTACCTTGTAGTACATTTTGAATATTTTACCAAAGGCATGTGTTCCTTTTTAAACCTTGAAAAGATGTGAAAGGCATCTTTCTTAATATGTGTATGCTTTTAAAATTAGGGACTTGGTATATTTTACATAAAAGAGAAACTAATGACTCACGTGCTAACCTATTTCAATCATGTCAAGTATACAAGATTTAATAAGTTTATACTATTTTGTGTTGACAATGACACACTTATTTTCATTAATGGTAGCGTTACATGTTCAAAATTTGAATAATATTTAGTTTTCTGATATTAAAATGTCATAACCATAACATCTATGCTAAATTACTTTTTATACTTTAGGAGAGTCCCTGGGTCAAAGGACAGGAACTATAGCTCTGTCACCAAACAGCAATCCAGAAAGTGTTGAATCAAAAACAAAAAAACAACAACTATCTGTTATCCACACTTCCTAATCAATATGGCTTAATTTTTTTTTTAGCTTTATTTTTGCATGTTTAAAAAATAATTAGTGAAAAGTATCATTTCTGTAAAAGCAATCGAGGCTGCACAATTTCCATATGCTAAGTACTGTGTAGATTTTTTTATTATAATCTCTGATAACTTCTCAAGGGCAATCCATGTATTTATTTTGTCATAATCATTTAAAACAGGATCTCGCACCATCAGGAGCAGAGTTCCCATCCTCAGACAAATTATTAACCTTCTGGGAGCCTTGCTTTCATCATATGCAAACTGGAAATAATACCCACCTACCTTTAAGGCCCTAGGGGATTAGATGGGCTCAATATAGAGAGAGCTGTTAGGACAGTGCCCAGTGAGGGTCCAAAAAGTAGTACTTGCTTTTAGATTTCAGAATACATTTTATTGTGCACATTTCATTTTTATTATAACAATAATTATTATTACCATAATCATCAATTCAAATACATCTATTACATCCATGATGATACTCACCATGCCTTTAATAACCATAAACCTTTCTTCCCTTCAACATGAGATAAATAACCTATCACAATGCTGTTAAGTCCCCATCAGAAACCCACACTGCCCCCACTGACTTACCAAATCTGCTACTTTAGCCAGATCAATCATCATGTTAATGTCGCACCCACATTCAATAATGGTAAGTCTGCGCTTTTTACCTATAATTGAAAAGACAAACATTTTATTTTTTAAAAAATCTTGAAAAAATATATCCATTAACTATAATTATCATTTTTAATTGCATCCAGTAAAGCACTATATACACTTACAAGACTATGCCAGAAGTTCATTTTTATAGCAGAAAACAGATCAAGTAAAATATATTCCTTCTTGGTTTTCTTTTGGTATGTTCTTTAATTTTAAAATATCACCAAAAGTCTACTCATATGAATAAAGTGCTCAGATAAAATTCTGACTAGAATAGGCAGACAAGTAGGTTTCATGATGACCCTAATCCTGCTGTTCAGAGGTGGGCCAATGCTTCTCTCTTTTTTTTTTTTTTAAAGATTTTTTATTGAGGAATTGGGGGGATGGGAACAGTGCTGGGGAATTGGGGGAAGGGGAACAGACAAGTTGCTGTTGTTTTGTTCTTCAGTCTAGTTGTGGAGGACATTGCTTCACTGACCCAAGTTGGCACCATCATTGCGCTCTTCCCGGGCGAGGCATCAGTCGCCGGCTTCTGGACGGCCGCTCACTGCGGCTGCTGGCTGCACACGGTAGCCCATGGCAACCCACTGCTACAGGGGCTGCAGCCTACGCCATCGCCAGCGACTCACAGCAGCCCAGCTCCAGGTTGAGCTGTTATTCAGCATCTTAGCTGTAGAGGGCAGTGTCACTGGCCCTCATATGTGGGATCCGAACCGGGGCCCTCTGGCATCCCAAGCCAGTTCTTAACCATTGCGCCACTCGGCCGGCCCCAATGCTTCTCTCTCTACCAACGTTTCTAGTGTTCCCATTATAGCTAAAAACATTCCCTGACCTAATGGAACAGAATGTGCATGGAACACTCATTATTTCTAAAATAAGTTAAAGGAAATTATTCACCATGATAGAAATGCCTTAAAGACAAAGAAAAGTCTGAATCCAACAACAGTTGACCCTTGAACAATGAGGGGTTGGGGCGCCAACCTCCCCACAGTGACAAATCCACATATAACTTCTGACTCCCCCAAAACCTCAGTCTTCCCTTGGTATCCACGGGGGATGGGTTCCAGGACTCCCACAGATGCCAAATTCTGTGGGTATACAAGCTCCTTATATAAACTAGTGTAAAACAGTGCATATAGTCAGCCCTCCACATCTACAGACTCCCAACTGCGGATTGAAAATACTGTTTTGACCCACAGTCGATTGAATCTGTCAATGCAAAACTCAGGGATACAGACAGCCAACTGCATAAATCCACATATTAGTGGACCAGTGCAGGCCAAGGGTCAACTATATGTTTCTGCTCCAATAAGAGATTTCAAGTTCTACCACTGCCACTTTGGGAATTTGTTTTATCTTGCCTCAAATTGAGAAAGGTCATCATCTCCCAGAACAGACAAGTTCCCACAGAAAAAAGAGAGAAGAGCTCCCTCACTACCACAAGACTGTAGCTTCATAAGTTACACATAAGTTCACAGCAGGTACTCGTTGTTAAATAAGGTGCTCACCATGACGAAGCCAGCGTGCCCAGGCCTACCAAGCCTTTCAGAGGAACATATCTGGCAAATTCTTACAGCAGTCAAAACAAGGTATACAGCTACTTCATTATTAGCTCTAGGAATCTACCTTTTTCTGAAGGTACAGCTAACTTCGTAAAACTACAAGAGAGGTAGTACGAAGTGACGATATTAACATTTATCAGTCTAGAAAATGACAACACCTGTTATGTCAGTATAGGGTAGCACCCACATACCCGACACAATCGTTACAGGGCCTCTGATCTCCGTCAGCTTCTGCCTGGTGAAGTTCCGAATGAGGCACTGGATCAAAGTGCTCTTTCCGACTTTTGGTGGCCCCATTACTACCACCACTATTGGTGGGGGCTCTAGAGGAGTTCGATCAACCACTGGAATGTGATGCTTTTTTGTCTTCAAATCCTGAGTCCTATTTGTAAAGAAAAAAAAAAAGTAAATTCATTTAAAAAAATATAAAAGTCATTATCCTTATAAGTAAAGATTTTAACAGACAATACATGAATACAATTAACATTGACTTCTGGCTCCAATCCAAATAACCACTTCAATAAATATATAACAGATATTGGGCCAGCCGAGTGGCTCATTGGTTAAGAGTTGGCATGAGATCGATTCAACAAGAGGACATAACCCTAGTAAACATCTATGCACCCAACATAGAAGCTCCTAAATATATAAAACAGATTTTGACAGACATAAAGTCAGAGATCAATGGTAACACTAACGTAGTAGGGGAATTCAACACCCATTGTCACCAATGGACAGGTCCTCCAGACATAAAATCAATGTGGAAACAGTGGCCTTAAATGACACTTTAGACCAGCTGGATTTAATTGATATTTTTAGAGCATATGACCCCAAAAGCAACAGAATATACATTCTTCTCAAGTGCACATGGAACATTTTTCAAGATAGACCATGTGTTAGGACACAAAACAAGTCTCAATAAATTGAAGAAGACTGAAATCATATCAAGCATCTTCTCTGACCACAATGCTATGAAATCAGAAATCAATTATAATACAAAATCCGGAAAGCACACAAACATGGAGACTGAATTATATGCTACTAAATAGAAAGTGGATAAAAAATGAGATCAAGGAAAAAATCAAAAGCTATCTCAAGACAAAGGAAAATGAAAACGCAACAACCAAAAATCTATGGGATACAGCAAAAGCAGTCAATCCTAAGAGGGAAATTCATAGCATTGCAGGCCTATCTAAAGAAACAAGAACAATCTCAAATCAACAGACTATCTTTACACCTAAGGGAACTGGAGAAAGAACAGCAAAACAAGCCCAAAGGGAGTACAAGGAAGGAAATAATAAAGACCAGAGCA